TAGTCTGTGTGGTTTAGGCGTTTTGATCAGCATATAACTGTTAGTCAAATCTAAACGTTGATAGTATGCAATATTATTTGCTTATTATTCCAGAAGAAAATACATCCATTCACATAAATAGTGTAGGCACTGGAGCCAACAAGGCTGGCTGTTTACTCCCGTGAAACTGTGACAACCTGTTTTCCCACATTCCGGCCATTAAAGAGCCCTACCAGCAGAGCAGCAGGACCGCTCTCCAGACCTGCAATATATAACTGAGACTGAACTACAGCTGCCATCTTGGGGTTTCATCAAGATTCGCATATAAGGGTTGCATGATAAGTAAAGGTTCTTCACAAGAACTGCTCTTGAACCCTCTGGTAGCGTCAGACCGTTAGTTTTACAGTGCCAGTAGTGACATACATGTCCGATTCCTTTTGGAAAACCGGAGATGAAACCCTTGGATATTACCTGCTTGTTACTCACCATGGCTTTTCAGTCACCATAGCCTGTCATTGATAGCCTAATCTCCACCTCTCTTTTGTAGGCTGCAGAATTTGGTGGCACTGAGCTCTCTATATATGGTGGTGTCTCTGTATTGCATTGCCGTTGCGTTTTCCTTTCATTCTTGTTTGCATTAATTAACGAACCTCCTTCACTACTCACTAGAAATAAAATTCCCTTCCAACTTTCACAAGTAATTATTCAAAAAAAAAAAAAAACCTTTTACACGTGACTTTTGGAAACTGATTGTCCTTGTCTCCCAAAAAAAAACAAAAATCTAATATTCAATCTCTGATTGTTCAATGAATTCGTTTGTCTCCTCAATTATTGCCTGTTGAACCATCTCGTCGTCATGGCTTACGCTCTCTTATTTTGGATTGTAGGGTTCTTCAGGCGTGCAATTCTAGGGTTCATTTCTTTTTATTCTTTTTTTTTTATCGACAAAAATAAATAATTAATATAAAATATAAAGGGTACTCTAAATATGTTTGCAAAATTAAAAAACACTAAGATAAGGTGCCTAATTGCATCCAAAATCAACTCATAACAGCAAGCTTACAAGGACAGCGTCCAGAAGAAGAAAAGATGCACACCAACCACCAATATTTCATGGTTCCAGTTTACTAATTGTACCTTTAGTTGGCATTTATCTTCAGCATACATATAGAGATCGTAACATATGTGCTGACCGTCTTGCTGCCAGGGCTTATTTTTGGCAAGATGATTTTGTTGATTTTGATGTTTGGCCTTCGGAATGCGGACATTCTGGGGATTGAATTGCATAGGGACTAGTTGTACCGTTATCTCCTTTTAATATATCTCCTTATTTCACAAAAAAAGAAGAAGAAGAGATTTTGTATAAATAATTACGGATATTACTTTATAAATTTTCGAAAGATAATAATCATGATTAGTAAAACTATTAAAATCATATCTTTTATTAAAAATTTTTTAAAGATATCATCTTGGTTACTAAAAAATAAATGTCATATGTCTAATTAAAAATTAATGTCATATGTCTAATTAAAAAATTAAAATTTTTTTTATTTGTACAAAATCTCTAACTTTCATATACATATATAAGAACTGATTTCCTATTGAGTTATTTTCGAACTTCTCCCACCCCCACTGCGGCTTGAATTATACAATTGATTTACTCAAGGCGAAAAAGAACCATGAGCCCATTTAACCCAATGTGCTGTGTTGATTAGCCGATTTGATTAGCATATATCTGTTCATTAATATTTAATAGTTGATAGTGTTCTTATTATGAACAACAATATCAACAATCAATTATAGATTTTTTTTTACTAATGCCTTTTAGTACCTACTTTTTACTTATAGAATTTAAATTTAAAATTTTATTTAAGAAAAAACGAATTCTTTCTATTCGAACGTACATATTGTTGGTATCAATTATAGATTGTTTTTTTTTTTAACAAATTCGCAAGGGACGGATTCAAACTGTTGCCCTGAGGGTGGAGAATGCACTTATACGTGACCTGAAACCAGTATACCCGAAGGCCCAAGTGCAATTATAGATTGTTTAAAACAGCATAACCTTATAAATTCAAAGCAATATGCACTAAAGAGTTCAGACCAAAAACAAATAATTTCGTGGGCCTATTTGCCTATTATTCCAAAAAGAAAAACGCCCATTCACATAAGCAGCGTGGATACTAGAGCAAACAAGGCTGGCTGATTACGCCTGTGAAACTCTGATAACCTGTTTTCCAACACTCCGGCCACTAAAGAGTCCTACCAGGGCAGCAGGACCGCTCTCCAGACCCTCTGCAATATCCTCTACATATGTTATCTTTCCATCTTTGATGTAAGGGGATAACTGTGTCCAGAAACTTGGAATATTGGTGTAAGTAATCAAGGACTGCAAATCCTTCCACACGGACTCTCTTATACACAATGTTCATCAAATTGCTTACACCTTCAGGCTTGTCAATATTGTATTGTGAGATCATCCCACAGACGGCAATGCGGCCATGAATTCTCATGTTGAGAAGTACAGCATCTAACATTTTGCCTCCAACGTTTTCAAAGTAAATATCAATGCCTTCAGGAAAGTACCTGGGGACAGAGTAACACAGACAAAAAATGATTGTATTATTACTTTGGACATCAATTCTGGAATTTGTCAAGGGGATTAAATAATTTACTGACCTTTTTAGAGCTTCATTCAAATCATGCTCTTCCTTATAATTAAAAGCCTCATCAAATCCAAGCTTGTTCTTGAGCAGATCAACCTAATTCAGATAACAAAGGGTGGGAAAAAGAAACGACTATGAGATACAATTATAGAAGTCATCCAAACAGTGAAACATTTTAGAGAAGAATTTTAAAATTAAAATTGATTTACGAAATAAAAATCTATTTACATACATATAAGTCTTAAAAATTTCATTGACTATTGATTTCACATATTCAACCTGTTAAAATAATAGTTACTAAATTTAATAATATATCTCAACCATTGGACTGTGAAATTAATGAGTACTTATATAGATTTACGCATATATAAGTGGATGCTAACACTTGATTTACTTATGCTATTTATATGCAAAAATTCAGATCCGGTGTTTAACAATCCTCAAGCAATCTTAGGTTATTTATCTAGCAAACTATTGTTATGACTGTTCAAAATCATAAAAAATTGATAATGTTAATAAGAAGATGTAATTGGTTCACCTTTTCTTTACTACCAGCACTTCCAACAACATAGCAGCCTGTCAACTTTGTGAATTGCCCAACAAGCTGACCAACAGCACCCGCTGCAGAGGACACAGACATATTCTCCTTTCTTAGGAGAGCAGACCTCATAGAACCCCGCATAAGCAGTCAGACCGGGCACAACTATAATAAGCAGAGGAAAAAGCAAAAATAAAGCACCCAAATCGAATCCAAATTGTCAGATCAATCAAATTTACTTACCAAGAATTCCCGTATAATACGAAAAGGGTACATCAGTATGCCGAATTTTGGTGAGTGTTTCGGGTGCCTTAATCACAGAGTATTCCTCCCATGTGGTTACTCCCCAAACCAAGTCCCCTTCCTTGATGTCCGGGTGGCCCGATTCCAAAACTTTAGCCACCCCAGACCCAGAAACTGGCTGCAAGTTCAACCATTTTTTTTGTAAGGAATGAAACAAAAGCACAATTCTAGAGCTTTGGATTTTAGAGAAACGTAAGAGACAATAACGCTTACAGAGCCGGGGGTGTAGCAAGTGAAAAGTGAACCATAATTGGCATCTTGGGGTTTCATCAAGTTTCGCATATAAGGGTCGCATGATAAGTAAAGATTCTTCACAAGAACTGCTCTTGAACCTTCTGGTAGCTTCAGTTTTACTGTGCCGTTGGTGACAAACATGTCCGATTCTTTTGGAAAACCGGAGACGAAATCCTTGAATATTACTTGCTTGTTACCCACCAAGGCTTCTTGCTCACCGGAACCCGCCATTGTAGCTCAACTAATCTCCACCTCTCTGTGTAGAGTGCAGAGTTTGGTGGCACTGACCTCTGTTTATATGGTGGTGTCTCTGTTGCTTTCTAGTGTCGTGGCATGTTTGATTTTATTAGTTCATGAGTCCTGAAAATATTTTTTCTCAAAATATTTATTTATAAGGTGGCTTTAAATTACTGACTCGTAATTACTTACTCGTATAGTTTTTTTTATTAATGGTAAAACCAACTCGCAAAGTTAATTATTGAAATTCATGACTTCGTTAATGATTATAAGGATTATTACTACATTGTCACAATAAATTATAATCGCATTCCTTTTTCTTTTTCTTTTTTTTATATCAATCAAAAAGTAAAAATAGATTAATGGAAGTAGGTATTCCAACCCTTACAACTTACAAGCCCAAAAAAAAAAAAAAAAAAAAAGAACACCTTCACAAACAATACTAAATTATTAGCACCTACATACCTCACAATACTTAAAACAATGAGTACCCTCCCTCAGCTGTGTTCGTCATTGCTTAGCGATGTAGTTGTTTTTTTCTTTCAGACTTCGTAAAGTCTTCCAATTGTGGTTCGTGAATGTAGAAACTGCAGCCCACGACGAATTTGTTTTTCAGCCACACAAAAGTTTTCTGTTGAGAATCTAACATCTTCCCCTATGAAAAGTCTTCACTTGAATAGTTATAATTTCGTTCCTAATTAAGTTTAAATGATGATTAAGTGCTTGTCAATAATAAAAGTTTAGCAAGTGTTGTTTATAAATGAAATTTAAAATTCAAAATTTGAAATTAACACTCAAATAAATTAATTTCTTTACATTTATCATGATGAGATGAAGGTGTATTTTTAAGATTATTTAAAGAAAAATTAGTCTCAAAAATAGTCTCAAAATTTTAATGACTTATTGAATTATCATTGACCATTATATAGTTGAGATGGTATATATGACTCCTATATAGAACATCTGCTAATAGAAGGTTTTCCCTAATGCATGCCTAGAAAATTAAATTTATGTTCAGGTCAAATTGCAGTTCTGTAAAATTACAAATTAACGTTTTGTTGGAGTTGTGGTATAAAAGCTGCAACACTATAGAAGCAAATGCAATCACAAATGAAATGCAAATGAGGGCTGCAACTTGACAGAAAAACAGAAGCAACATGGGCAAGAGCTAGTGCTGCATATGGGTTGCTATAAAATGGCAGCATATCTCTTGAATGTAATCTTGCTTTAAATGTTTGAATTTTTTTATTTTTTGTGTGTGTTAGGTGAATATTACATGAGAAAAACATTGTTTTTTATGTTGTATTACTTGTATGTTTTCTGCTATAAATAGCAGAACATCAATGGAAGAAAATTGAGTTTCACCTCAATCGAAGAGAGAACTCTGGCTGTTTCTCCTTCTCCTCTAAGTCCTCTCTCTACTCTTCTAAAAACCCCCAACAGGTTTTGTGCATAATATTTATGATATTCTCATTGTAATTCCGTTTCTTTAGAAGTAAGAAGTTTTGTGTTTTACTGATATGACATGCAAATGACTGATATTACTACATATGCTACTCTCACATAGAGAGCATAGAAGATCAAAATATTCTCCCTTTGAGAACCAGTATGACATTGCCTTAGTAATAATAGAACAACAGATTTCTGTTTCTTTAAACCTCTGTGATTTCATCTTCATTGCACTCATCTCCTCTCGGTGCAGAGGTTTTTCTGGTGTGTTCCAATATCTCAGAGTCAATTGTGAGACCATGTTTCTTACCAACAGCACCTAGTGTTTTGTACACTTGAAGCATTGTTGGCCTTGGATCTGGATATGGCTGAACACAGTCCAATGCAACTGTAAGAAATTGAAAGATTTCCTGATCAAATCCTTGCCCCATCATAGATTTATTGACAAAACTACAAAAAAAATCCACTGTAACCCATTCATTAAGAACCGGAGTCTCATTGCCACTGTTTGAAGAGGTTGTCATTCTTTTGGGATCCTCTCCGGTAATCAGCTCAAGAAGAAAAATTCCAAAGCAATAAACATCCTCCTTAAAAAAGTTTGATTGCCAATACTCACAATTTGCAAAGGGGCTGCTCTCGGTTGAATCAGTGTCATTTGGTTTCAGGAGTATTGCCTCTCCAAAATTTGACAACTTGGGCTCAAAATTCTCATTAAGTAAGATGCACTTGGAGCTAATGTCAAGATGGACTATGCGGGAATTGCACCTGTCGTGGAGCCAAACCAAGCCCCTCGCTACTCCAATTGCAATTTTGACACTCAAGGGCCACTCCATGATTCTCGCCTCACCTTCCTCAGGAAGTAGCCAATCATAAAGACTGCCTTTTGTCATGTATTTGTAAACCAAAAGTCTTTCCTTTGACTGGATGCAGAATCCCAGGAGGGGGACCAGGTTGTCATGCCGTAAGCTACCCAGTGTCTTCAATTCTGTTATGAAATGCTCATCAAATGCAGGAGTGTCATATAATCTCTTAACTGCGAGGAGCGAACCATTAGGCAACACCGCCTTGTATGTTGTCCCCATCCGTCCGAACCCAATGACATTTTCTTTGTTAAAATTGTCTGTTGCTTCCTTGATTTCTGAATAACTTAGTAAAGAAGCCTGTGGTTAAGATTCACACTCCAATATTAATACTAGAATCAAGCAGCAATAAAAAACTGAAGTAAATTATTTTCTAGAGAACAAAGGACTATACCTTTTTGGTTTCTTCAGATAAAAAATCCATATGTGGTATTTCTGGCACTTTCTTCATTTGCTGAGCTTCCTTTCTTTTGCTATCCCTTTGCAGTAATTGATTCAGCAATATCTGCATTAATGAGGCTTCACTCCTCTTTTTCCCTTGGGTCCACCATGGCACACAGTAGGAGATAAAAATAGTGACAAACGAAACAGAAAAAACAGCATAGCCTACAACAAAACCACTTTTGAATGAATCAGAGCTACTGTTGCAGGGCTCTAAAGGACTTCCACAAAGTCCGGAGTTATTGGCAAAGCTATCACTTGAAAAATTTGTCCCTGCAAAACTAGGTACTGGTCCATATAATAGATTATTTGCAACACTAAAGGTCGTGATGCGAATAAGCAGACCAATTTGTGGTGGGATATGCCCTGTTAATTGATTATTGTCTAGAAGAAGAGTATTTAGAAAACTGCAGTTGGCTATGCTCTTCGGGATTTCACCTGAGAATCTGTTGGAAGAGAGATCGAGTGAAGTTACATAAGGGAGGATGTTTGATATATCAGATGGAATAGGTCCAGAGAGCTTATTGCCTGAAAGGTCTAGACCCGTTAAGCTTGAGCACTTCCTTATGCCTTGAGGAAATTGGCCCTCTAGACCCATGTGGGCCAGACGAATGTTCAGCACTTGATTTGTACTAACATTCCAGCATTCTACCCCTCTAAATCCGCAGATGAAACCCTCAGTCTTGTTGTTGAAGTTCCAGGAAGATTTAAAGGAATTGTGAGGGTCATGCAATGAATCTTCCACGGATTTCAAGCAATCAATGTCAGAGGCATAGCCAACACTCGCAGTGCTCACCAATGACCAGATCAAAGCATGTAGAAATGCCATGCTGAGTTAGCAAGAGAAAAAGAGTTGGAACTTAGGGGCATGTAATAGACAAAAGATACAGCGAACACGAGGAAAGTCAGTTTGAGCCCTGAAGCTCCTTGGGATAAACAAGAAAATTATGTGAAGGAGAAAGGCCAGTGTGAGACCAGCTAAATAGCATAATAAGTTGACCTCCCTTCCCCACCTTTCCTGTTCTTAGAAAAAGGATAAAGACTGAGTCCAGAAGGAAGCCTACCGAACCGCATATATAGAAAATAAAACCGAGTCTCACTAAGACAAAGACACCAGTCTTTGATACGAATGAAGATTTCCAGCCTTCAGTAGTTCAGTTTGGTCAGAGTTTGAAAACTTTTGTTACTCATCTAGATAGCTAATCGTTGACAGTTTCAAAAAAAATATGAATCAATCTTTTCTGTTCAACATTCCAAACAAGATAGGTCGGAAAATGAGTGAATTTCATGGAAATTAATGGGATGTCTCCACGATATCTCATTTTGCCGGATTTCTTTGCTATACATGCTATTGTTCAAATTTCTAATGCTAATCCTTTTACTACGCAAAAGAACTGCTATGGAGGAACTGATATGCTTTAGGGCAAATGATGGTAAAGCTGGATTGTCCCACTTCAATCTGACTTTGGTGAGTGACTGGAGTAATGCTTGTATGATACCCTGTCTCGTCGTCAGCCTCCATAGTCTCTCCCACTTACCAGTGCTTTCTCTTTTCTCATGTTCCTTTATATACCCTAATACCAGTGGGATCTCTTTTATCATCTCCGTGTACAATTTGATTATAAAGGTGTAGTCCCTCCGTTCCCAATAATTGTCATTTCAAATTGAAAATTTTTAACAATTTAACGTTTTTATCTATGTTGCTCCTACCTAAAATAAAAGACAAATAAAAGAAGATTTTGTCAATGAGGTGATAAATTTCTAGTTAAAAACCTATTATTATGAAACAAAAAGAGTGGTTAAAATAGCCTTCTATTTTTTATTTTTTAAACCGAGTTAATAATCACAACAGAACTAATGGCATAACAGAACACAACCTGGAGATACATGAAAGATATTTTAACTATTGAAGTGTATACTTCTTAAGCAATTGTTAAGTCACGTGTTTTCCGAAGCACCCAATATCAGAAAAACAATATAATCCTACCACCATTGAAACACAAATATGTTACAAGGCATTTGAATTGTTCCAAAATGACACAAGATTGGTGAAGCTTTTATCACTTGACAACCCCTTGAAGAGCTTTAAAATGGGGGAGACTTTCACAGCTCTTCCACGATAAGACCTGCAAACAAGCAATGAATGTGATCATTATTAATATAAGTCTTCAGATGATATCAAACAGGATATTAAAATAGAGATTATTTGGCCAAGATGATGCTTATGATGATAATTATTACAAGCCAAAGATTGTTTGTGCTAGAAGCATAACTTCCCAACTGTGGCTGTATATGCCAGTCTCAATGTCATTTTAATCATAATGCACGTAAAAAAGAGAGGGTATGTAGTATTGTGTACCTGGAGGAAGAGACTGCTTCAATTTGTCAGCCTTCTCAGAATCAAACACACAGAGTGTGTAGAGGTACTTCGAGCAGCGGACCTTGAACTTCACCACATCCTTGCTCCTCTTAATCTTGAGAGCGCGTGCATCCTTCCTTCTGGCGGTGAGAAGGAAGTCCTTGATCTCACGGATTTCCTTAGGCTACACAAAACAGAAAAACCCATTACACCTTCACAGAAATTTATAATCTAAAGCACAAACCATATAAGCATCAGGACAGAACACGATAAAAAATGGATAAGTAGAGACACGATAAAAAATGCATAAGTAGAAGACTTGACCTTAAGGCAGTATTGATATCTTCCATTTCATATCCACATTTATATAAATTCCCAGGATTACTTGACCTGACCTAAGAATAAGATTAAATCACACCCTATATTTCAATTTCATTCCAGATCTAGAAATGAGTAGAGGAAGCTATTGCACAACTCTAGCTTAACAACTCTTCAGGCTAAAGCACACTGAAATTGTTATTAGTGATTAGTCATAACAATTATATATATGTGAGATTCGGGACATTACAAGATTCAAAATCCTAACCAAGACTCCATTATGCTTAATCACCATTCAAGTGAGAGGTAGCAGACAGACAGAAAAGTAACAGGAAATAAAAATATGAAAAAAAAAAAGAAAAAAGCAAACATCAACAGGAGATAGAACAAGCCTAGACAAAGAAAAAAGAAGAGATTGTGCATACCATCTTCGAAGGGCGTTCAAGAGAGATATATGGACAGTGAAGAAACAGCCGAACCCGTGATCATATGACTGTATCTTCTGATTATATAGTACCGATGGTAGTAAAACCCTAGAAAAATCTTGATGGACTCGTTCTGGCCTTTGAACTTCGAAGAGTGGGCTTCTTAGGCCTAGTTTCTCAGTAGCCCAACCAAACGCTATGGGCCTGAAATTATGTAAGTTCATGCCACTATTATTCTATTATATAAAATCAAAGAAGAAAAAAAAAAAAGAAGAAGAAGAAGAAGGCCAATGATATTCCTAATTTTTGAACTTGTAAAAGATAACGAGTTGAATCTTATAGTTTGTTTGATTTAAGAGGAGGATAGGAGAGAAATTTTTTTATTTTGATAAAAAAATGGAGAGATGGGGAGGATTTTTTATTTTATTTTATATTATATTTAGTTTGAGGGGAGAAGAAGAAAAGAGTTTTTAATTAATCAAATTATACTATTTAAATAGTATAATTTAATTAGTTAAAAAAATTTATATTTCTTTCCATCTAAATATATATTTTTTTACTTTAATTTAATGAAACAATGAATGGAGAAAAAGTGAAGAAAAATAAAAATAAAAAATAAAAACTAAATCATTTCTTTTCAATTTCTTCCCATCCCATTCCTTCTTTGATTCTTTCTTATTTCTTTTAAGTCAAACAGGAAATTACCCTGTTTACCTCGAGAAAAAGAGTGGCGGGGAAATTTTTTCCATTTAATAAAATTAAGACAATAGCCTTTTTTTCCATCCAATCACGGCTAATTGATATGATAAGTCCCTATTTTTTTTTTTAAAAAAAAAAAGAGTTATAGTGAGTCAATGATAAGGTGGTTCTATTCAGTCACTTAACTCAGAAATATTTTGCACACAGATTGATTCAAAATACTGCTTAATAGTTAAACTAAAAGGAAAAAATGAAAAAAAGATTCTACCCAATATAACTTTATATTAATTTATAATTTGACAATTATTATTATTCTATTTGTGCTAACAGGAAAGGAGAAAGGGTTTCCCCTGGAGATCAAACCTAATATGAAGTATCAGTAGCATTAAGTAGTACTCCATTAAACAATTACTAGTGGCTTTTTACTTTTTATTTTTTTATTTTTTATTTTTAGCCAAATCAAAAAGAACTAGTGGCTATTTCGGTTGAGCAGTAAGGTGGCCCGCAATTAAGTAAGGTAATAATTGTATGATGGCGATTTGTTGATTGGTTCAATCCGATATTTTGATGAAGCCAATGTATTTTGGATGGATTGTTATTAGACTTTTCAAACTTCTACTGCTATACTTCGTAAATATAATGTATACAAAGTATTTAATTATAATATTATGTGATAATATACTTATATAATTTAATATATTATTTTATGATTAATTTTTATTATTTATAATTTATTTATAATATTATATATGTATTTAATATTATATAATATATATTTAATATTATATTATAAGAGATTAATATTTATTTATTTTATTTTTTAAAAATTAAAAAAAAATATTTTAAAATGATTTTTTAATAAAATATTATGAAAAAAAGATCAATAACACTCTAATTCATACTTAGAAAAAGTTATTTTAATCTTTTATAATAAAAATTTATTAAAATTACATAGTTTTAAAAAATTTTATTTTTAAATTTTAAGAAATAAAATAAATAAATATTATTTTCATATTATAATTATAAATTATAATTGTTAGAAATAAAAATAAATATTTAAAAATATGTTTATTACTTTCTTGAGTAATACTATATATACAATAACTTATATATAAATGTTTATAAAGAAAATATTTTAAAGTATAAAATATATAAAAAATATATTTTAAAATATAAAATATTTATAATAAATGTAAAAATAATCTAAATGACTGTATTCATATCTTAATCTATTTTATATGTTATTATAAGTATAGTAATGTATACTTCCATCCGCGTTGAAGAAAGTCCTTGTCTGATGCGTATATAAGCTTCAAAAAATCATACCCTGTCCAGGAGAGCATTAATTCCACTAAATTCTCCTATCATCTATATATGGCGCAATCAAGTACTTACCCTTTCCCTCCCTCGGGGGCCAATCCCCTCCCCAACAATGTTCTGATCATTAGTCCTCACTTTTACCGTCCTTACCCCGTCGATCTTTCCATCGTCAGAAACGTCATGCCCATTAAAGACAGCGAATTGGTGGGCACTGGCATCGATGGAAACATCATATTCAAAGTCAAAGGATCCTCCATTTTCAGCCTTCATAGCAGTGGGGTCTTGCTCGATGCTGCAGGAAATCCCATTGTTAAGACAAAAGGTTTGTTAGCTAATTTAACATTTTACTTCCATAATATTGAATTTTTTTAACTTATATCCAGCTGATCAATTATGATTGTTTGTTTTGAGGTAGTTAATGAGTGCACATGATAGATGACAAAGTTTTCAGAGGAGAAAGCACAGACTCTAATAATTTGATATTCACAGTAAAACGATATCTTCAATGTTTCAATGAAAAAGCAAACTAGACATTTTCTTGGCAGATAACAACACAAATGAGAAGGTCTGTGATTTTAAGGTCAAAGGAAGTTGGCTTGAGAGATCCTGCGTTGCTCATGCCGGAGAGTCTTCGACCATTGTTGCCCAGGTAAGAACAATTTTAATTCTACATTAACCCTGCTTAGAGCAGTATATTTCTAGAAAAGCAAAAGAGGAAAATGAAAGCAATTTCTAAATTAATTTGTGTTTGTGTGCAGATGCATAAAAAGATTACAGTTGAAAGCGTGTTGATAGGAAAGGACAACTTGATGCAGGGACGTAGCCAGAAAATAATGTTAGGGGCGAAGTGGGTTAAAAATGAATTTTTTGACTTATAATTTATAAATAAGCCAGATTAAGATTTAAATATACAAAAAAATAAAAATTTAAAGACTTTATATATAGAAAAAATTGTTAAAATTGATGTGTATTAAAATTTTAATATGAAACATAATTTTTATTACAAAATATTACTTAATATGATTCAAATAGGAAAACTAAATATTTTAAAAAATTGATAATATCAATTTTAAGTTAATTTTATTTTGTAACTTGATATAAATAATCATTAACTATGTATATATTACAATGAAAAACATGTCAAATAAATAAAAATATTTTATTAAATTTATTTTATTTATCAAGTGATTAATAATTTATCATAAAATTTATAAAAGAATAAAAATTAGAACACATCATTTTACTTTTTTGAAAATTGGTTTATTTGATTTTTTTACAAGTATAGGACCTATTTAATTTTTTTTCAAAAGTCTAGGGGGGGCCAGCGCTTAGCCTGCACCCCCCCCCCCCCTGGCTCCTTCCCTGACTTGACGGTAACAGTGTATCCAAACATTGATTTTGGATTCATAGTGGCTCTTGTAGTCATTCTTACTGCCATCAACGAGAGTGACCAGCAGGCGGCGGCAGGGCAAGGGGCCATCAGAGGCGCCACTGCAGGTGCAACTGCTGGTGCCTGTTGACATTTCCTTCTGCAGATTACGTTTTGGATGGAGTGAATGGAAAATTTAATTTCAGCGAAATTTTGAAATAAAGGATCTGGAGTACGTTTAGGATTTTTTTCCTATGGAGTAACTTTTCTCATTAATTTGATGAGAACATGTGATGTGCTTTATTGGAAGTAATGAAATCCAGATTACTTTTCTAAGCCCGGTAAATTATGATTTCAATCCCACTGTAGCTTTAATCTTTTAAATAGTAAATATTAATTCTTTATTCAACTATCAATTGATTTTAATTAATTAAATTAAAATAAAAATTTAATAATTTTTTGATAAATAATTTTTTTAATAATCTTAACAAATTAAATTGTAACTATAACCCCCAACTGCACAATATATAAATTGCGCAATCCAAACAACAAAAATATTTATATACATATTTTGGTACGTTAATTTGTTTTTTGAACTGATATAATTTGAGGTGAAAAATAAAAAAATTACATGATATTATTGTACTTTAAATTTTAATTATTACAAAAATATTAAATGCATCTAACAAATGTTTTTCTTCAAAAATTCTCAAGTGACTTCACACATACGAAATTTAAATGCAAGCATGTCACTTACTTTGCTGAAAGTAAAAAAAAAAAACGATTTTTCCAATGACTCTCTCATTTCTCACCATTGACCACCATGCGAATGGTGGGAAGAGTGTTGCTCTTCAATTAAAATTTGTGCTTACAAATGATTTGTAAGAGGGAGGAATGCCTTTTTGCACAATAGATTACTAAATTTGCCTTGGACAACTCTAAGAACTTAAATACTGTTGTGAACTTAAGTTAAAAAACCCTAAACGAATTATACAAAATGCAAACTAAAATAAACTTATAAGAATAAGATGTACACAAATTAAATCAAACAAATTCATTGTCAAATTAAATTGCTATCTATAAACAGATTTAGAAATTAAATTACTGCAAATTTGGAGATCTAACCCTAAATAACACTAAAACAAATATGAATAAGGATTAAACTAACATGCCTGAAATTGAAAAGAAGCGTGAACATCATATAAGTAATCATTTGATGAAACACTACTTACTATAAACATTAAACTAATGCCAACCAGAAAAAGAATAGTACCTTGTAGAAATTTAAAAGCTTGATGTTCATTACATGAAACAAAATTGTTGAACCAAGTATACAAATTAATTTAGCTACTGGAAAGATGAAAAACAACTTAAATTTACTAGGAATTGTGTTAGAAACTGAAATCTATAAGTTAAAGTGAGCAATAACTAAAAAACTAGAAATCTAAAAATTTGTTAAATTGTATGTAAGGCTAGCTATCAAGTTGTGTGTAAGACTCCTTACTCCGGTTAGGTTCTGGAAGGATGCATGGGCGGGTGGGGTTTCACTTGCTAATGCTTTTCCAAGATTGTTCTTATTGGCTACAGATAAAAGTTGCAGTATCCAAGATATGACCTTATGGACAAATGGAGGCTGGTCGTGGAATTGTCAATGGAAAAGACCACTGCGTGCGTGGGAATATGACAAAATGCAGCAAATGCTCGAGGACATAAATCACATTACGCTGATGCAAGATGCTGAGGACACTTGGAGTTGGAGGATTGACACAAAAGGAAAATATACTACAAGATCAACATATGAACAGCTCACAAGAAAAGAAGATACTAGATTGTTGGAACACAAAAAGCTGTGGGGAGCACAGGTCCCATCAAAAGTGAGTGCATTCTCTTGGCAATTACTTCTTGATAGAATTCCTACTAAGGTTAATTTAGCAAAGCGTGGGGTTGTAGATGGAAATCATAATATTAACTGTGTATGGTGCAACTCATTTCCTAAACACACCGACCACTTGTTTCTATCTTGCAACACCTCCTTTAAAGTATGGACAAGATGTCTCAATTGGTGAGAGGTACATTATGCACTCGGGAATACTTGCATGGACGTCTTCCGCCAACATATTTGGTATAAAGGTCCAAAATTTTTGAGAAAAAGCTAGAATATATTATGGTTTGCCATAATGTGGACAATATGGCTAAGCAGTAATGAAACAACTTTCCAATATAAGAAGCCCAATGATGATAAACTGTTTCAACTGGTGCAGATTCGATCATTTCACTGGATTAGAACTCTTTCAAACCTTGAGAATTTTTCATTAACAGAATGGATTTTTAACCTAGTTAGATGCATGATTAATAGAAATTAGAGCATTTAAGCTTGTTTTAGGATTTTGGTGATTCCCTATACATCACCTCCTTTTACTGTTGATTTATTCACATGATGATGTTTACGGGTTTGAGTACCCCTTGTACTCACATATTAATATCATAATATCCTTTTGCTTTTCAAAAAAAAAAAAAAAAGGACTCCTTACTCCATATAGTTACTCAAACATGGGTAGTTTCTTGAAGAAGTTGAACATCTCATGATTGAGTTAGAATTCCATCTAAATTTCGCTACATGTCTCATTATCACCTGGTTCGCATCATTAACTGAAACCAACTCTTAAAACAAGTTGAAATAATCCTAAGCTAGTTCAAATAAGCAACCAAAAGATAAAATCTCATATTTTCGACTCTTTTTTCTATGTGACACTTGATTTGTCATAAGAATTAAAATTGCAAATTTGATATGATTAAATCACTTCCATCCACTAAAAATATTTGGTACATGATATAATTTTAAATTTTTATAATTTATTGTGTAAACAAACTGATACATGAACCTTGCGCTATTTTGGTACGTTAATTCATTAAAAA